ACTGATTACTTTTCGACTAGATCTTTTTCTTGACGGCGGTGAAACACTAATTCTTTAGGAAACGTTGGTGACAGAATTCTTGTAACCAAATTTTCAGTATATCTGTGAAATAACAAACGATTGCTAACTACTAAAGCTTACTTACAAAAAAAAAAATATTATATTAAAATTTCTTATGAATAAATTAAAGTTAAAGAAACGAATTGACAATTTATTTCTGTGGTATAACAAACGTATTCGGATAAACAAAATTTTCCCAAACAGATACAAAAAGCAGAAGGAATATGGTCGAGCATAACTGTTGCAACAGATTCGCCCCTGAGTCAACTACCCGAAAGTCACCGCTATGTTAATTAAGTCATTAGTTTCGTTCCAGCCGGTTATAATTAAGGCGTCGTAAGGTATCATGAGGGTTAGGCAGAACACTCTTGATCAATGATTACTGATGCAATTACAATATTTTGGGATTTTTAAAACATATAATTTTTTAAGAGAAATACAATTAAGATGCCCGTAGGCCATTAGGGACAAAAAGTGACAGCTTCATAGCTCGCCGATCACGGAGATCTCGATTCACCTGGCACAAATTGTTAAACTGTCAGACCATTCTCAGGTCCTTGACGTAAACTAAGTAAGATGCCAGCTTTATCTTGGGCTGATCAAACGAATTCGCCAAATAAGTACATAGGAATGACCACTGGTACGACGGACATCGGAAATCCCATTAGAGCTCATATCTAATCATCCGATATATTAAGACGTCTGGGAAAGAACTGTGATCTGTCTGAGGAATGAGACCCCACTATTCTAGTCCCATGGGGACCAATATTATTCCAAAACAATGCATCAAACACTCAACGCGTCTTTAGTTTCAAATACATCGGTTGTAAACAAGTCAAATCAATCAACTCTCCCAAAATGCGAAATACCAAGTGAAAAATACCGTCACAATTCAAGAGAATAAATAACATTCGCTGCGAAAAAGTGATATCCTTTCCTTACCGAACTTAAGTGACTAAGCCGCTAAATTTTAAATCGAAATCCAGAAGCATGACATTGTATTGCATTGCCCTAAATAAAATAAAATTAATTCAAATTACAAAACTTTTCATATAGCAACACAAATTTTATTGTATACTTACTGTTTACAGTCTTCCCACACAGTCCATCCCACTCAGTCCATTTTTCGCTCCCGTTAAGCTCTGGTTTTCAACAGTGCTAGAAATACATTCGAAAACACTTAATTTGGCTCATTCAAAACATAAGTTCAGCTGGTGAAATTGGCTCCTGCGGAACATGTTATATTTTTTTGCTGCAGATAACAGAACAATGCGGTTGATTATTTTGGCACTATATTAAAATGAAATAGATATTAAGGAAATCGAAACTCTCTATGATTTTATTTAACTAAGAAAATATCTATTCAAAATAGAGCAGAAATTAAATTTATATAAAATTGTAGAAGTCGAGACTATTTTGAACTACAATATACTTGAAAACACCAAAGAGTTTCTCTGGTATACCTTGAACTTTATGTCCTTCAGTTTTTCACTCGCTCCTTGTTATATATGTTTGAAATTTTTGTATTGAATAAATTTCACCGACATGAAAAAGTTTTCAGAGTTGCACCAAAGAATATCGCCTAATTAAGGCCAAAACAAGCCCATTAATTTCGGGTAAACAACGAATGGAGTACAAAATGAGAAATTTCGAACCGGCAAAACCTTATAGACCATCCGTTCAACGGAAGGAGGAAGACATATGGATCTCTGTGGGAAGACCATGTTGAATCTTGACCCACTTTTAAATATTGCACATTTGAAAAAATTTCAATTGCATGGTACTTCTTTTCTCACCGCCTTTTCCCAACAAATTAGTATTATTTTGTATGGCAGAGCGCAGGGCTCGTTTTGGCATTGGAAAATTCAATGAAGATATAATTAAGAAGTAAGGCTTATTGTAGCCACTATCAAGCATTATGTTTTTTGTATATTGTGTCTATTTAACTGTTGCTTTTTAAAACAATTAAACTGTGAAATATCAAATAAAAACCCGTATTCCATTGCTAAATATTTTCACAGTATTTGAAATGTTAAATATTCAATGTTTTCAGATATAATGAAAATAACATTTGCCATTTGCCCACAAAACATAATTACAAACTAGTAGAAAATACCGAAAAATTAGAAAGATTATTATTATATTATTATAATATTATATTATCGAAATTATGGAACCCTTCTTAAATTATATACTATTTTTGATATTTTGATTTGTTTTGCATGAAGATTGTTGTAAAAAATAAGTAAGGTTGAACCTGACGGACCTCCTGGGTGCCAAGCATATACCAGTATGGCCCTTATTTATCCGGATGTTATTATCATATGGACGTGGAGAATGTTACGTGGTGTTGAAGTCCTTGAAGATCGCGGTGGTTTAATCTTGCCTGCATTAGGGCTGGGCACTTACATATGATATGATCCAAGGTTCCGGTTGCCACGGATTCATCCTGCAGTTGTTGGTATTGCCCAGCGTGACTGCAAGCGCAGCAGCCAGGAAGTGACCTATGGAATTTCCCACCAACAGTCTCCAATCTTTCCGGGGTAAATGAAGTACGTAGTGGCTGGGTTTATCATTGGGCTCTTTGCACATGATTTTTGATATTTTGCAGGTTTCGGAGTTTCTTCTTCATCTGCTTTTTGCTTGTGCGTCTGCCCGCCTCTCAAACGCTGTTTGGAGCGATCTTAGGGAGAAGAGGACGTTTTCAACTCTAGCGTTAGCCAGTTCGACTCCTTCCATTGCAAGTTCGTTTGCGGTCTCGTTGCCAATAATGCACTGGTGGCTGGTAGTCCAATAAATCCGCACTGACGTTGTCGTGTTTAGGATATCTAGTGCGTCCCTTTTTTCCAGTGCATTTTTGGAACTGACGATTGCTTTGGCTTGGTAGCTTATACGACAGCCTCGTCTCGGGGTCTGTACAGTTAATGCACGCCCCAACTCCTCTTTCCATCTTGGAGCCGTTCTCCAGCTTTGGGTCCCATGAATGTTGTTGTTTTAACATCCGGGCAAGTAATAGGTGTCATGAAGTCAGATATTTGCCACCACACTAATACTCCGTACAGCAGTGTCGGACGCATCACCGATATGTAGACCCAGTGCATCAGAGAGACCCCATGCCTTGTATCTCTTAGTGATGAGAATGAATGTGGACGGACAACTCACATATCTCCCTGATTACGTCGTCGACCACTAGATTCCATAGGAGGGGCGATAGGACTCAACCTTGCTGTGCCCCAATCTGATTATATCCTCCTACGACTTAGTATGTTTGTCCAAAAGTTGGTGGCGGGGTGCGTTTAAGTCGCTCCTAGGAGGTCCATTATTGCGTCAGTGCTTACGTTGTTGAATGCCTCGGATATGTCTACAAAGACTCCTAGCGCATATTCATTCCTAGCCATAGAGTAAAGACTTTTTTGGTCGCCTGCAGCATGGCTGGAAATGTTCTGTCTAGTGCTGGTGCTTTTATCCCCGTGAAGAATTCTAGAGCCCATTGGATTCTTCTAGAGGATATTAGATCTTTTGGTAGATGCTTCTCTCTAGTTGCGAGTACCGGATGCCCGTTGGCATCGGTAATCCCTGTACAACCTAGGAAGTGCGCGTGCATTAGTGCTGTTAGTGCCTCTTCCACTGTCCGTCGTCACGTTGGTCTGGTTCTCTTCGTGTTTCTTGATGCATGATGCGCCAATTAATATCTATATCTTTCTCGGAATTTATTGTGCCCGGACAATTCGAGAGCTTAATAGCGATTATTTTTTTAACATTCCCCAGCAAGTATTATGGGGACTTAAAAAAACTGTTAGTTCTAAAGAATGATCGAATTCGTTTTGTACTTATGGTCTGAGAAGAATGGTCTTTCAAGGACTTCCCAATCTGATTCCATTCTTCGTCCTGCTACGAGTGTTATACATATATACATATATATATATCAAAAAGTCATAGGCAATGCTTTTTTCCTGAGGCAACAAATTATATAATGCGTTTTAAATTGGTACATACATATTTATCAGCATCATCAAAGTATGGCAAATCAGCGCCGTTATGAACTCTTTCGATACCGCTGTAATGGATTAATTCCCAAACATTCAAATGAGTTGAAACAATGTAGATGTGCACCTTGCAGTACCATATGTAATCAATAGGCCACTGTCATCAACAATTCATCAAAGTGCCGACTGCGTCTTTTACCGAGACGATGCTCTCAGGCGGCAATCGTGCCAACCCCGACTCTTTCGCGCTCTTATTTACTCTCGGTTGATGAAACGTTGATGAAAAAAGGGCAAACACATAGGCCTGTCATCAATAAAAATCAGCATGTAGATTCTGTTGCAATCTCCCATTCTCAATGATAATAGCGGAAATCAGTGGAATTATATTAAAAACAGTGGAGCTATGTGGAATTTTGGAGGTAACCATAAAATTATATGAAAAACAGTGGAGGAATAACAAAAAGGTGAAAATTTAATATATCGAATTTAATTATACATTTAACAGCGAATAATATTTTAGAAGTCCAAAATAAAAGGCCAACAAAATTTTTTTACCTAAAATGTTGATGAATTTTTAGTAACTGTTGGTGAATTTTTTATGAATCATTGATGAATTGTTGATCAATTTTTAGGTGAATTGCTTATGAATTTGTATATGAATCATTGATGAATTGTTGATGAAGTTTTTAATGAATTTGATGAATCAATAATTAATTGTTGATAAAATGTTGTTGATGTCACTCTAGGACATGCCAATGTTAAATTCTTCAGTAATTTGTATGGACATTCTTAGATGATTTATCAACAATACCGCCTTGACCTTTGATGGCAATCGAACGGTTGAATTTAATGGTATACACATGGTATATTAAAAAGTCGCAATAGTGTAAAAGGTATATGTTTTGAAGGTCTGGACTATAAAATTGATCGATATTTCCACAGTCTCACTTTTGAGCGATGACCCACCTCTAGCGTGGGCGCGTGGGCTGTAAATGAAATATAAATACAGACCTAAAAATGGATACATTATTTGTTGTAGACAAAGCTGGCCATCGGGAATCCACTTTGCCAACAGTTGTTTACAAACGAGATAGATTTCTGCTTCAAGATAAGAGCGATGGAATTGGAGATAACGACCATTTTGATGACGAAGTGAAACTTTTCGGACTCAAGTTAGACCAAAATAAAATTGACATTGCAGTGAGCTCTTCATTGACAGGATCGGAAAAATTGAGATCCGAAATTTCTGAGAACCTTGAAAGGCTGTCTGAAAAGGTGGCAGATGCTGTGCAAAGTTCCTTCGTTGGAAAACAGGCAAAGCGAAAATGGGTAACAGAGCTTGAACAGGGTAGTGGTCTTCTCTTGAGCATGCGTCAGGATAATGTGGAAAAGAATATGCTAAGATCAAGGCGGTTTTTGGATCCGGGTCTGGATCAGCGCAATGCACTTCCTACAGTGAGCAAAAGGTTGCAACCAGTCTTAAATAAAGTAAGTATATCTAGATATCTATATATGATGTTAATAAATTACGCGAGACAATGATGAAATTTTCGACATCTGAAGTTGCCCAAAACGGCAAAACGTCCATACCTAAGGCTGCTGAAGGTATCTCTTTTAAAATGACTCGAAAAATAGAATAGCCGTTTCTCTTTAGATCGCTGTAATCTTGGCTGCTGCATTGGAAAAGTATGCAGTAGCAGTAAGGCCAGCGGAAAACTACAAGCCATAGATCAAGACTGGTCTCCGTCGTAAAACCTAAGACAGACTTCTTAGACCCGGGCTTACAAATTTTTTCTTTAATGAAACGGTAAATCTTAATCGACACGAGAGGTTCTGAGGCCTAGGCTAGATGCTTTAATTGATGACGTCTTTAGTAATCTGAGTAATAATGCTGCCATTTAATTAAAAATTTTAATTTCCCAACTGAACCCTTTTTATTATTTAAAATGCATACTTTTTCAGGTGGAACGCAAAAAAACATTGGGTACCGGTTGGTTTAATCTCCCAGCCACAGAAATCAACGAAGAAATAAGCAACGAGTTAAAAATCATTCAGATGCGATCAGTTTTGAATCCAAAACAATTTTACAAGAAAAATGATTTAAAAGTACTCCCAAAATACTTTCAAATCGGCGTCGTAGAACATTCAGTTTTGGATCATTACAAGAAGAAAAACACGAAATATACAAAAAAGTCGCTAGTTGACGACTTGCTCCAAGACGAGGCCTTTCAGAAGTTTAACAAGCGAAGATATAACAAGGCACTTCAACGCAGTGGAAAATATACTCACCGGAAAAACATGAAAAAAATGAAAAGAAATAAGAAAAAATAAATCAGAGTTTGTTTAACCAACCGGCATTTATCTTTTATTATTTTTATTCCTATAAACAATGAAAAAGGTATATTTACAGGGGTGGTCAAAGCATTTGCACAATGACAATTATTTTTAAACCCAAACTACTTTTGTTATTTTTGATGTTGAGCGATTTTCCTGAATTATTTTTATCGCGGAAATTTATCTATGCAGAAAACAAAAGCAAAAGATAACGGTTCATAGGACAGTGCTAAGAGCAAAAGAAAATTTGTTTTTATTTAGGATATAGCTTAATAAACTAATTTTCAGCCAATCAAGAGAATTCTTTGATACCAAAACATATTTTTTTAATTATTATTAAACAAGTAATTTATAAGATTGTGACTAAAAACAAAATAATACATTTTAATAGAATTAAATTTAAGGTGAAAACTATGTGTAAACACCACACTACATGCATCTATTCTTTTACCTCTAGCGTTGTCCCTTGAACCGTTATATTTGGCATTCCTTTTCGGCCTCAGCATAGATCAATCTACGCGATAAGAAACATTGCTGGGAAATCGGGTAACAAAAACAAGAATAACAAGTAAAAGAAGTTTGGCTGTGAAAATTGTCGTTGGCGAAATCTGGGTCTTAAAAAATGCATTATTTATATTTTCAGTCCTTCAGTTGTATAAGTATAAGATGTGAACAAACGTTGCAAATATAAATAAATATACCCAGTAATGGTGCTTTATGCAAATACGGAGAAGCTAAACCCAAAGTATACGCAAAACTGATTATTATTATTATTATTTTTTGCTCTCAGTCGAGGCCCTATTATGTTTTTAATGAATTGTCTCTTTGGGTATACTAATTAAGTGAAAAGTAGTTCAATTCAAGCAGCATTTTCGAAATATTCAGATATTTAGAAACCCACGCCGGCTAATACTGTCTTCCCACGCAGTGCACCTGTGTGAAAAAGTTTGGATTTTCGGCAGATGTACAAATTTTTATTGCCACAAAACTCCATTCACACTCCACCATCCGATAACCGATGTGGATTATTTGAAGCAGAAACAAAATTAATTGTTTCCCAATTATTTTGGCTGTTTACGAAACTTGCAAACAATCCAATTCATCCATGACCTTTTAAATGGCGTTAATTGCCAAGGGTCGGCCCAATGATTGCCCATAAATGTGCAACTACTATGTTAATTTTCTGAAAAAAAATCGTCTTAGTGTAAATAATCAATTTTGAATTTTATTATATTTTGGAAATATGTGGTTGCGCCAACTAAATAATTTTCGTAAGTCGGTCACTGCACACTGCTCATCACCAGATTAGCGCCCCCTTAGTATTCTTCTTTGAAGTGAAATATTTTCAAAACCATTAAAGATAGAACTGTACCATATTTTCCAATATAATTTGGTTGATTCTGTAAATAAAAAGCATAAAAACAAATAAATTTGGATTTTGTATATGGTTTTACTAATTTAAAAACTAAGGAAACATATTTATTTACATATTACACTAACTTTACTTTTTTTCGATACATTTATTACAAAACGTTAGCTTTAATCATTTTATTACTAAGTTTAAACATTTTGAATGAAAAATAATAATGGCTTGCCCCTTCCTTGCTTATAATGACTTTGTAATTTTGATTGGGGATAGAGTCATACAAAAATTTTTTTGCTTACCAAAGCTTATTTATACTGCAAATCATTGCCTACTTGGTAGCAAAATGCTTGGCACCATCGTATACCTTCCTAGCCAACCAACACCAGACGTTTTCTATTATGTTAAAGTCTGGGGAGGAAGGCACTGAAATTTTCCTTCTGAATTAAACGTTTTACGGACCGTGCTGTGTGAGTAGGAGCATTGTCGTGCTGGAAATGCCATTTCAGATTTCCAATTAAGTGTTTGAAAAACGAAAATGCACTTTTAAGAACGCAATTGCAGTTTTTAGCTTTCATTTTTGGTGTATAAAACTGCATTTAGCAGTTGCCATAATAGGATATGGCACCCCAAACTCCTCCAACCCGAATATGCAAGCGATCTAAATGATACTCTTCCTTACGTGGAAATAATAATTATATCTTTCTGGACCCTTTAGGTTGATTTTTCTTAAAATCCGTGATGCCGCTCATTTGACCCCGTTGTTGGTTGTATTGGTTGTTGTGCTAATCAAATTAAGGAAGTCATTTAAAATTATATTTGGGAGCACATCACATTAGTGAATCTGATGATGCAAAACACGTGTGGGCTTTTACGAAAAAAAAGAACAAAGTAAGTGTTTTGAGGAGGGCATTAATTTATGCCACCTATTAAGCGAATTGATTTAGCGAGGGGTTTGTTTTGTGTTGGCGTAAAATTAGTTATGTTTTAATTTGTGAGTGCTTGTGTGTGGTTTGGTTACAAAGTTTTTGTGTGTTTTTAGTTTCAACGTAAGTGAGCGAATGAATCGAGAGAATAGATAAACCAAACAGAAGAGCTGCGGCGGAAGAGCTTTCATGCCGGCTTATGAGGTGGAAAGCTTCTGCCGCAGCTGATCGCTTGTTTACAAATAATGATTTAAAACATTTAATATTAAATCTGCTGCTTCTGCTCCCGACAGTAAGATTAAAGAGATAACTGTTAATTTCACAAGTTTAATTTTACTCTCAATTAGAGAGACTCACACAGACTCTTAATTTACAAAAAATAATAAAAATAAACGAATTTAAGTGTTATAGTTAAAGAAATATGAGAATACAAATAATGAGTAACAGGGGACTAATCTGGTAACACGCAATGTAAGCACTATAAGCGAATTATATCGTCACCCTAAGTAGATTCCAATGCCATCTACCATCAGTTGAACGGATGATTTATGTTTCCGAAATTTTTTTTTATTGTATTCGTTGATGTTACGGAGAAAAACTGCTTGCAAACCAAAAAGAATGTAGGGGTTAGCTTACTATTTTTATACCCTTGCAGGGTTTTATAATTTCAGTCAGAAGTTTGCAACGCAGTGAAGGAGGCACCTCCGACCATATAAAGCACATATATATTTTTGATCAGCATCAACAGCCGAGTCGATCTAGGCATGTCCGTCTGTCCGTTTCTACGCAAACTAGTCTCTCAGTTTTGAAACCTTTTCAACAGAATTTGATCAAATTTGAAATATAGCCAACTTTTAATGTTCTACAATTTTGTGTAAAATTTTATAAAAATCGGACTACTATACCATTTAGCTCCTGAAGGAATGATCGTTAGATGCAAATCTGTGAATGTAAAACTGTAAATATAATATGTATGTGTGAATGAATTGAAAGCAGTTATTACTTCATTTTTTTTTTAACATAAATATACATATATAATTTATATTGTATTGATTCCTAATCATCGATGTTCTATCTGCAAGGGTATATAAACTTCGGCGTGCTGAAGCTATCTTCCTTTCTTTTTTTATTTAGTATCAGTACAACTATACAAAACTACGTTGCTCAGAATTGTTTAAGTACCACTAACTTCTCGGTATTCCTTATGTGAGTGTCCTAAAATTGTTTTCCTTTATATAATATAATAATATAATTACGAAATTAAGAGGCAAGACTTCTAACTCTTACTTTTTTATTTTTCCAGTGTACAACGACAAACTAAATGTTGCAAGCAAGCGTTGTTGGTTAAAATAAGAAAACAGCTATGATATTTTAATTACTCAAATAATTTCTTTTGTGAGGTATATGCCATTGTGGTGCTAATGGCATATACCTCACACGACGTAATACAATAGTAAATAATACTACAAAATTAAATCGGTTCGAATTTAGTTTAATGTCACCTTAAAAAGTTTGTTTACAAAAATCAATGATTCCTTTCATGGACTTTGTTCAATGCTATGGTCACACTTGTTTCCGAATGAAATAAATATCAATTTTTCTCGGAATATGTGAGTACTAGGTTTTATGTGATGATTTAAGCGGTCTCTACACTATTAATTCACAGCCGCATTTTTTTCGCATCGGTATGCCGGTTTCTTTTAGTTGTAAACAAAAAAGATATGATATATGTTTCTTTATCCTATACAACTTAGCAAACTATGCAATATACATATACATATGTATGTCTTTAACTTTATTGTTATTAGTCAAATATTGTCTTATCGTGCGTAGTACGCCTGTCGTTTGTGAAAAGTTGGAGAGCTGAAAACAATTAAATCGAAGACAAACGAAAAAAAAGGAATTAAACCAGTTCCCGAGTTGCAGACGCCACAAAGGTTGACAAATATCTACATATAGTTTAAGGTGAGCTCTAAGTAGAAAAACTTCATAATGTTCCTAATCCAGAAACAAAATATTTGGGGACCATAGAGTGATAAATGTATGTACATATGTATGTATGTATACATATGTATGTATGTATTTAGTTCTGTTCTCCGTTCTTATACTCTTTATTTTTTTTTATAACAAAAACTTCAGGACCGTCTTTATTTTAATTAAGATTGAAAGTCGCCGGTGTAAGCAGCTCTCATATCTGGTCCTTATTTTGCATCCAAGCCCAACGTCGGTCATTCTGTTACGATGGTGATGTGTAAGGGAGGTGGTTAGTTGCGACCCATCGCACATACATATGTATATGTATGTTTAAGTATGTATGTACACATGTTAATTTGTTACAGTTTTATTGTGGAAGAGTCGATGCCAAGAAGTACATTTTTCGAACAGTTTTTCGCAATCACCATCAAACAGCAGACTTATGCACTTTTGTATACCACTGCACTCACGTAGTTTGGTCAAATATTACCTAAAAAATCTATTTTTATAAGAACACCGAATTATTTCTGCAGGCTAAACAACATACCTTGTGTTTTCTATAAGCACTCTCCCACCATCTAAGCTTATAAAGTGCCAGTCTTAAAAAGAACTAGTTTTACGAAGCATTGAGTTTACATTCTCTGACCTTTAATATTCTCATTTATTCTTGCGTCGGTGAATTGCTACAATTAGCAGTAATGGTTTTGGTGAGCAACGAATGGCTGAACAATAAGGATGACGGAAGCCAGAAGCCAAGCCCAGCATCGCTAACAACATCGGCAGCACCAGCAACAAGTGCAGCAACTCTAAATAACGAGCTCAATGCTGGGTCGCCAGATTTAAGCAGAGCAGCCGCTATAGCCGGAGGAGAAACAACAGCATCCACGACTGTTAAGCGGAAGAAGGCTCAGCAGCACACTACTAGCATGGATACTGTGAAAAAACTAGGGCCGGATCAACCCATTCAATTTATGGAGAGAGAGAAGCACGAGCTGGAGTCTGAGGAAACTAACATTGAGGAGGACGAAGCGATGTTAGAAAACCAGGAGAACAACAATATACAACTGTGCTGTGACTCCAACACAAGCACACTGCAGAGTGCCACCAGTCCTGATCGTCGCACTACATCGCCTCAGCAGATGCTGCATATGGCAATGAACTCTGTACTGAATGTCAACAATGCAAACAGTGTTGGAGTAGGAGTACCTTCAACGGTCAGTCTGCTCAATTCACTGGGTGGACTCCGGGAACCGACTGCAGCACCGGACTGCGGTAGTTTGCTAATATCCCCTGGTAATACAAACACCGGCTTGGAGTCCACTTCAGGTACAGGTGAAGCAAAAATCGTACTTCATTGTGAGGCCAAGTCACACAAGTTCGAGACGAGATCAATACTTCTACAGCCGAACCAGGAGTGCAAGGTGGGCCGTCTTATTGCCAAGAGTAAGGCGAGCGAAAACAATGCGATTTTTGATTGCAAGGTCTTGTCTAGAAACCACGCAATGCTCTGGTATACGGCTGATGGACGTTTCTGGGTTAAGGATACAAAATCGAGCAACGGCACCTTTATTAATGACAAAAAGCTAGGAAACGATCCTGCTGAGCTGCATTATGGTGACAGCGTCAAGTTTGGCGTTGAGGTGATCGAAAATTCGCGGCAAGAAGTGCACGGCTGCATTATTGCCCGCGTGACATTGTTTCTACCTGATGGCCGTGAGGCTATTTCGATCGAATCGGAGCAGATGCTGCTGCTGACGGGGCCCAATCGGATCAGCTTTGACGAAATCCAGCGCCTTAACTCTTTCCTTCAAGAAGCGGCGCAGCGGGAGAAGGCGCTAAAGGCAAAGTTAAGTAGCTTGCAAGGCATTCTTGATTCTACGCGGAAAAACTCTGCTATGTGTTGGCAAAGCATGATAACTGAGGATCAGTTGATACACAAGATAAATCTCCTGGAAAAAAAATTGCAGATGATGGAAAAGAACGTACCCGAAAATACATTACGAAATGAGGTTTGTATGTGTGTCTCTTAATGCAGCAAGAGCTGTTTTTATGGTTTTCTATCTTTTTTGAAACAGGTTGTTAAGATGCTCGAGGATAAGACCACATACCAGTTGACTGCCAAAGAGGCCCTTCGCAAGGTCTATCAAGAGCGCTGTGATGCCATGCAAATGTACTCAAAAATGGAGATGGCCTATGCCACCACAGAGAATGAGTGCGGAATATTGCGTGCTCAAATTCTTACTTCGAAGCAGGCACTGCAAGACTACGATGCCCGGATAGAATCGCTTCAGCAAGAGTTCATCGAGTATAAGCAGGAATCCCAGCGTCAGCAGAAAGAGGCTAAAGAACAGGAAGAACGTAATTTAGGGGAATTAAAGGAACAGTTGGTCATACAAGACCGTGAAATGGATGAACTGCGTCTGCAAGTTACACATCTTCAACGTACTATTGCTGATCATGACAGCGAACAGAAGTTACAGGAGCAGAATGTCTTGGAACAACTGGATTCCGTTATACCCGACGATGATGATGAACATGACGAGAATGAAGACGACAATGAAGATATTCATGCCACCAGTTACGAAGAAGAACCACAAAAATCGGATGTGCCGGAGAAAAAGGTGAGGATTATAGTAGTAATTACTTTGGGTATCTACGATTTAAATCGATTCATATATTTCATTGTAGGTCAAGAAGTTCAAATTAAACGAAGTTGAACTGAAAAATAAATTAATTCGAAAGTCTAGCGTATTGAAGTTGCTAAAGAATTCCGATCTCAACAAAGGAGAAGGTGGATCCGCATTGCTGAGAGCCATAATTAATGATAACGATGATGATGACTCCCAGTCTTCGGTTGTATCAGCTGAGCTTAGTGCGGGCATTAAGCGATACGCAGCTGATGAAACCGCCAGCGACGAGTTTATTCATAATTCGCCAAAGCATATGCAGGTTAATGGTAGCGATGAGGTCCAGCTGTCTGCAGTTCAAATGTTGCAGAGCCAAGAAACCATTGTGTGCAACGAAAAACAAGATAATCTATATATGCTGCCTGACTTGCCCACGGACCAAGCCATTGAAATGTTACAGGTGGAATGTGATACGTACAAGGAAAAGACTGCTAGCCTAACTGATGACATTCGCTCCATGCAAGAACTGATTGAAGAACTAAAGAAGCAGCTTGAATTGGAGATTGAATGCAACGCCAGACTTCGATCCCTAGGAGATCAAACCGAAAAAACAAGCGAAAAACAGCAGCGTATGTCGTCGGGCCAGGACGGCGCAGAAGAAACTTGGATTGACGACATCGCAACTATGAATAGTTTTCAGATGGAGCGCGAAGAGGAACTCATTGTTTACAAGGAAAGATTGGAAGAATTGGAGATATGCAACATGCAGCTACGCACCGAAATATCAAATCTTCGCCTTAACCAGCAGCAGCACATGCAAACTGACAACAAACAATTGCTACTTCACAGGGTCCTGCCAATCGGCTGCGTAGTTTTTGCTGCCCTTCTTTGCTACTTTATCTCCAATCGTATTTAAGTAGTAACAACTAAAGACAATCAAATCTACACTAAAAATATCAAACTACTGGAGTTTGAGCTGTTGGAGCCACGTGCTTCTTGTAGTTTTCGTGAAAACGAAATGCGTATATGGATGGGAGCATTTCAAAACATACTGGTATATTTCTTTAACTTTTGTTCAAGACAACTTAAAGCGCAAAATTAAGAGTCGTACATTCGAATATAAGCGAATAATAAACAAGTAATCGAAGAATTCGTCAAAATTTATAACGAAAGCTTTTTTAGTTATTTTCTTTGAATACAGTAGAGCATTTGAAGTCGTTCTAAGAGGAAGCTGATTTAAGCTAGCATTAAGTTTTAGTTTCGATTGTTCCATCCTTATCCTTGTTTGATTTATGTATTTATGTATTTCTTATTATTTCTTTGTATTCTCAATGGCTGCAGCTAACGCTTGCGTAGAAAATGTAATGGATACTAAATGAATAAATATCACAAAATTGAAAGCTAAGTAATTAATATTTATTACTTCGGGTGTATTGGTAGTTGGGTAACCTATCTATATCTATATCTATATCTATATCTATATCTATATCTATATCTATATCTATATCTATATCTATATCTATATCTATATCTATATCTATATCTATATCTATATCTATATCTATATCTATATCTATATCTATATCTATATCTATATCTATATCTATATCTATATCTATATCTATATTGTTTACAAGGAAAGATTGGAAGAATTGGAGATATGCAACATGCAGCTACGCACCGAATATCAAATCTTCGCCTTAACCAGCAGCAGCACATGCAAACTGACAACAAACAATTGCTACTTCACAGGGTCCTGCCAATCGGCTGCGTAGTTTTTGCTGCCCTTCTTTGCTACTTTATCTCCAATCGTATTTAAGTAGTAACAACTAAAGACAATCAAATCTACACTAAAATATCAAACTACTGGAGTTTGAGCTGTTGGAGCCACGTGCTTCTTGTAGTTTTCGTGAAAACGAAATGCGTATATGGATGGGAGCATTTCAAAACATACTGGTATATTTTCTTTAACTTTTGTTCAAGACAACTTAAAGCGCAAAATTAAGAGTCGTACATTCGAATATAAGCGAATAATAAACAAGTAATCGAAGAATTCGTCAAAATTTATAACGAAAGCTTTTTTTAGTTATTTTCTTTGAATACAGTAGAGCATTTGAAGTCGTTCTAAGAGGAAGCTGATTTAAGCTAGCATTAAGTTTTAGTTTCGATTGTTCCATCCTTATCCTTGTTTGATTTATGTATTTATGTATTTCTTATTATTTCTTTGTATTCTCAATGGCTGCAGCTAACGCTTGCGTAGAAAATGTAATGGATACTAAATGAATAAATATCACAAAATTGAAAGCTAAGT